GAGAGAGAGAGAGAGAGAGAGAGAGAGAGGTGCGCGCGCGCGCCGGGGAGTGGAGGGAGGACCCCTCCCCCACCAACCAATCAATCAATCAATCAATCAATCAATCAACCAACCAATCAATCAATAAAACCCCCAAATATTTATTTATTTATTTATTTTTAAACACAAATATCCTTTTTTTTTTTCTTTTTTTTTTTTTCTGATTTGAAGGTACGGGGGCGTAGAAGGGCCCCACACCACCCCCCTCCCGCCCTCATCCCGACCGCACCGCCGCCCCCGTGGGCGTAACGCCTGTGAACGGCTCCCGTGAACGGCTGTTCACGGGATTTAGGCCCGATGACCGGCCGGTCACGGGTTGGTGACCGGTGCAGGTCACGTGCATGGGGCAGGCACTGCCCCTTATCAAAGTGGGAACTAGCAACGAACGCGCGAGCTGTATACAGAACGTGGTTCGTGGTGTCCGTGAGAGAGAAAGGCGCGAAGGTGCACGCACTCTTATTAGTTGATGTCAGCGGTCATTATCAGTTGCTAGTGAGTCTGTGCTGAAGTCAATGGCACTATGCTGCCGCCAGATGCCTGGTATGATTAGCGTAGTCTGTTGACAACTAATCACAGCCATGGAGGGACACGTGCTTACTACTACGCGTGCAAGAGAGGTGAGTGGGGTGCGGTCGCGTAAGGAAAGTCAAGGATCGCTCGCCAGAGGCAAACAACGTCAACCAAAATCAGAATCTAGTTCACCCCACTCACCTCTCTTGCACGCGTAGTAGTAAGCACGTGTCCCTCCAGTTGTCAACGGACTACGCTAATCATACCAGGCATCTGGCGGCAGCATAGTGCCATCGGCAGTGATCGACTTCAGCACAGACTCACTTGTTCACCCTCGCAGTACAAATCCTCGCGTCTCACTTGTCCCTTATCCGGATCGTGAAAAGGTTGCGTAAAGAAAGTCAAGGATCGCTCGCCAGAGGCAAACAACGTCAACCAAAATCAGAATCTAGTTCCGGATAAGGGACAAGTGAGACGCGCGGGTTTGTACTGCGAGGTCAACTTGTTCACCCACGATAGACAACCTACACCGTTCAACTTGATAGTGGCCTCTGTGTGTAGCTCGATTAGTTCGATCGCACTTTCCATGATAGGGAAAGGAAAAGTGTCATAGCCTTGGCTGTCGGAGCTGCGTACAGGTTGTGTGCAAGAATTATAGGAGAAGGGTGTATCTGAGTTTGCGGTTGACAATGTTTTGATTTGGATTTATGTGCCTCCTGTGTCAGTGATCCGCTAGCCGTAAGATGACACTATCTACAATCCTTAACGCGAGGTGAACGGGCGTGGCATTTCATTTTCCTGAGGAAGCGAGAGTAAGTGTGTTCTGTTGACATCTCCGGTGTGGGTGTGCGATAATACCTTTACCCTTTTTCTTGACGTGGCACTACGTGTGCAATCCTTGTGGTAGTGACTGATGGAGGTGGGGAGAGCAGATGAGTCGAGATGACTGTACTGGGTGTGAGTGACAGAGATGCCCTCTGCAGGGTTGAGAGAAGCCTGATGATGTCATTGGTGTTGGCCATGGAATAACACAGGCAACTCGGTGTATTTCACGTATATACAAGACGTGTGACAACGTAAGTGAAGTACTAGTTCAAACAAGGAGGACTAAGGCATGTGCTAGTTATGAAGGCAAAATATTGCGAGAGTGAGTCTATGGGGTCGAATATGGACGAGATTTTCATGAGCACCTCTTAAAGCTGACTTATTAGAGTTGTCACTTCCGCACGTATTGTTATTTTCGTCACGAGGCATAACGAGTCATGCTATCCGCCCATGTGTACGACAGTGACTGGTTGAGCCGTGAGCCAGAGGGAAGCTTTAGAGTGTACAGGTGGTCATGTACCAGGACGCAACCCATTTCCTTTGAAATGTGTTGAGACTCTTGACTGATCCCTTGAAACGCATTAAATGTGGTCGTATCGGCCGTCCCTTCCATTCCCTCTCCCACTTCCATCTAAGGCAAGATGCCAGACATCTCTGGGTCCGGTTTGACGAGTCAGAGTAGTCAAATGCCTGCATTTCACATGCGTTAAGCATAATCGGCAGGGCCAACGTCAATAAAAGGGGAATGGTTATTTCTCGGAGTGGTGATCAGCGGGAGACGAGAGGATTAATAATCAGGCCATCACTGCAGAGCTCTGAGTCCTCCCTTCTGAGTGCTATTTTCCTTTCATTCCTCTTTTTTCTTACTTTATTCAACTCTCATATCCGAAAAGGTGGAAGAGCTTCGACTGATAAGCTGCTGGGATTGAGGTTCTTGGTAATGGCCATGCATCTTTCTGCCGGTAGGAAGTTGTGATGGAACTAGTCCTCGTATGATTAAACTAGTACAGTCGCTACTTACGGTAAGAGCAAATAGAGGCCTAGCTCTGGCGGTTTGATTTGGGAGGTCTATGGGTTTAATGGGATGATAACTGCTTGTGTTTTCACTCTATTTGGTTGATGGGGAAAAGGAAAGTGATCTTGAGAAGAATCTCTTACTTCGTCCGTGCTCCGTGCGGTAAACAGGCAAGAGACACTGCACAGTGGAACCCCGTGTTATACATGAGTTGGGGAAAAGCGCTTGGCTGGACCCTTGCGCCATAAGCCAACAAGGGTTGTGTTGGAAATGCCTGACGTTGTAAACGAACGGAGAACGCGCTGCGTGGTGTGAATGGAGGTAGCGTCTGATAACCCAGCTGTGCTACATATGAACATCAGTTGTGTTCGATAACCCTTTCTGCTGAGTGCCGGTTGGCTTCACACTCGGTGACTCGATGTGTTTGGGATCTTGTCATCTGTCAAGCATAGACCGTACTCTACGGGCAGAGATGCCACAACCTATAAAACACCCGCGGACGCGTCTGCGGGGTCGAGCTCGGAGGGCGGCCACATTCATGTCCGCAACCGCGGCTGGCATCGGCCGCGCCGCGAACATGAATTTGCACGATTTTTCCTGAATAAAATAATGGGTTAAAAAAAAAAAGGGGTTGTAGGGATTTTCAAGCCCTACAACCCCATTTTTTTTTTTTTGGAAACAGATAATGTTTTTGAATTATAAAAAATCAAAAGCAGAAAAGGTGGAGAAGAGATATAGAAAAAATAAAAATTGGGGGGTGGATTTTTGGATGGCAGTTCTTTGTATTCTTCGTTTTTAGTACTTTTTACGGTTTTTTTTTTTTTTTT